GACCCTTTTGTAAGGGTATGTCCAGTTGCTTACAGATGGGCTTTGGGTCTCCACTCCACACGCCCCCTCATTCATGATGATATGATTTTTTTGTTCTTTGATGCCTGATGCCTGATCCTATTGACACCTCGTCATCACACAGGCTGGTGTGCTTCTTTCATGTGGGCTTTGTTGCTTCTGAGCTAGATGGCCGCTTGTTTACCTTCAAACCTTTAAGACCCCAGATGCTATATCTTTTTTTAAAAATTGTTTTATTAGGGGCTCATATGACTCTTATCACAATCCATACATACATCAATTGTGTAAAGCACATTTGTACATTCATTGCCCTCGTCATTCTCAAAACATTTGCTCTCCACTTAAGCCCCCGGCACCAGGTGCTATATCTTTTGATAGCCAGGCACCATCAGCTTTCTTTATCACATTTGCTATGCACCCAGTTGTCTTCGGTGATTGTGTCAGGAAGGTGAGCATCATGGAATGCCAGTTTAATAGAACAAAGTATTCTTGCTTTGAGGGAGTACTTGAGTGGAGGCCCAATGTCCATCTGCTACATAATACTAAACCTATAAATATAGGCACGTCGATCTATTTCCCCATCATCAGATATAAGTATATTTACATACGTACATGCCTATATTTAGACCTCTATAAAAGCCCTTTGCTTCCTAGTTCTTTCCTCTATTTCCTTTTACTTTCCTCTTGTCCCACCATCATGCTCAGCCTTCAGCTGGGTTTCAGTAATTCCTCTCGGTTACATTGCCCTTGATCAAGCCCTACCAGGCCTCCTACACCATCCTCACCTTTCATTTTGGATCACTTGTTGTTCCTTTATCCCTGGAGTTGTTAACACCCACTTCCTTTCCCCTGCCTCTCAGTCTCTCATGTCCCCCCAGAACTGTTGGTCTGTTGTTTGTTTTCTCCTCTAGCTTGTTTATCCCTCTTATCTTACCTAGATAGACCGGCAGAGATAATAATGTGCACAAAATCAAGACATAGCCAAACAAAGCAACAAAAGAAAACAAAACAACAACAAAAAGAATAGCCTATAAATAGCTCACGGTGTGTTTGTTGGCCTTTAGAAGTGTTTTCTGGTTGAGTGTGATGAGGTGCCACGCCTTGGCCCCAAAGTCTATTTTTGGAATTCCCTGGGGACTTTGTTGCTCTGTTCCTCTTTCAATTCTGTTGCACACCCTTTTGTGTTTCACCTCAGTGTGGTGGGGTATGATTGGGTGCAATTACTGCTCTGTGTCTCCAATGCTGTCCCCTGTAGTGCTATGGGCCAGTGGGGTCGGCCCTATGGTCCTCTCTGTACTTTGGCTGCTCTGAGTGGGAATATCATCATTAGGGATTGGTGGCCCAGGATGTGCTCCACTCTCTCTTCCTCTCCCTTCATTTGTTCCCGTGTGCTCTGATCAGACATGTCACTCTCCCTGACCTGTTGTAGCTTCAGTGCTGTCCTCTGAAGTCAATTTTTCTGCTGTCTGTGTAGTTGGGGTTGGGGCCAGCCCTGTGTGATTTTATTTATGTGAAATCCAGTATAGGTAAATGTATAGAAACAGTAACTACATTCATGTTTTCTTAGCGATAGAGCAGGGAAGTTTGGGAAAATGTGGAGGTAATAATAATGGGTAAAAGAAAAAAGAATATGTTCTTAAAATGATTGAGGTGAATATTACACAACTCTTTATATATATATACACACACACACACATATATATAGATCATTTTATTGGGGGCTCATACAACTCTTATCACAATCCATACATTAAATATATTAAATCATGGAATTCTATGGTATATGAATTATATGTCAATAAAACTGTTAAAAAAAAAAGGAAATGTGAATCATCAAGATATTTCAGGGAATAGATTGGTTGATGGACTTAAGAAAGTGTCCCCCATCCTCCATTTATTATGTTGTTGCTTATGGTCCAGTTGTGAGGACTTTGTTTTCTTTCTTTAGACATTTTTCTTGTGAATTGGGTGTTGGTTTGCATATCAGATCATTGTTTCTCATTCAACAACTGAAGTAAGTGATCCAGCCTCCTCTTGGCATGTGGATTTCTACCTGCGTCTTTCCCTCCATGGCCTTCCTTTAGGACGCTGTCTTCCCTTTCATCCGAGCTAACACCCAGCTGCCTCTGGTCTGTTACTTCCCCTTTCACCGCTTACCCGGTGTGATCGTGAGGGTTTGTGTCAACTTGACCCGGTCAGGTCCTCAGTAGCTTGGCAATGATTCTCCATGATGTGGTCCCACAACACAATCAACTCCATGGGGGGTTCTAGCCTAACGTGATGGACTCCGAGCAGCCAGCGGTCCCGGTGGTGTGGAGCCCCTTGACCAGGCCACAGCCTTGATGTGATTGGAAGGAAGACTCCTTGAGGGCGGGGCCTGCTCCTTCGAAAGCAGCCTTTGTGGGAAATCTTGTCACGTGTGCTGAGTCTGGGTCCTACATCTGGTTTGTCCACCTCCTGCCACATGGCTTGCTGGTCTGAGGGGAAATCAGTGCTCTGCTGACCTTGCATGCATTCAGTTCTGCATCCACCGGCCTGTGCGTGGCCTTCCTGATTCGTCAGCACTTGCAGCTACAGAAGTGAGGGGAATCCTCCAGCTTACCATTTGACCCAAGAACTTTATCTGGTCTGGATGGATCTACTCTATAACCCATTTCTTGACATAAATCGCCGTATAGGGCTGTTTATTTCAGACAGGGCTCTGTACAAAACAGTTACACAGATTCTTCACAGCGGAAGAAGGGTGCATCCCGGCAGGCCGAGGGGCTTCCCTCAGAGGCCGGCCCGCTCTAGGATCCAGAGAGCCTGCCGGGCTTCAACGACCCCCCTGACCTGCCTTCTTTTCGGTCAACTTGGCCTGGGGAAGGTGCCGCTGCCCGTTTGTGAGGGGGACAAACTACATACTGTGAAGAACTGGGATTAATTGTCATGTCAACCCAGGATCCAGCCGAATCTCCTTTGTCTCCAGGAGTCCGTCCACATCACGCCGTGGTGGCCCTTGCCAGGGTGAGGGCGCTGCCCCCCCACTGTGCAGACAGTGTGCACTGGGCGGCGTGCTGGCCATGTTAAGAAAACGCCCGCTGGTCGTAAATGAAAGGGCGTGGCTGCTTCAGGCTGTACCCCGAGTCTTGAAAGCATCAAAGGCACTTTTTTCCAGCCAGGGTCCATCCGAGACGAACCTGGCCTCACTGACGGGAAAAGCCGCGGGGCCGTGCACTAGGCCTGCAGAGCCCTCGGGTCCTGGGGACCAGGCTGCCATCCAGCCTCATGTCCCATTCCAGGTGCCGGCAAGGTTCCGGTGACACTTCCAACCAGGCACGGAAGGGGACGCCAGGTGTGAGAAGGTGCCTGTCTGGGAACAGGCAGGAGAGGCTGAGAGGAAGCACACCACGGGAGTCGGGGTGCAGGCTGTGTGAAACGCGTGGTGTAGGGGTGCAGCCGTGAAGGGACGGTTATTCTAAAAATGGAGGCGCTTTCTAGGTCGGGTGTACGTAGTTCTTAAAAAAGTATTAAAAATGCTCTAAGCAAGGCCATGTGGCTAATGGGATTGGGAGGGAGGAAGAGAAAGGGGCAGCCCTAGGCCTAGCCCTAGCCCTAACCCTAACCCTAGCCCTAACCCTAACCCCTACCCTAAATCCTAACCCTAACCCTAAATCCTAACCCTAACCCTAACCCCTAAACCCTAAACCCTAACCCTAACCCTAACCCTAAATCCTAACCCTAACCCTAACCCTAACCCGAGTCCCCTGCTCGCTTTCCTCCCGGGCGAAACCACCCCCTCCCGTCGAGGGCGGCAGCCTCAGGCCCACTGAGACACCTGCCAATGGGTAAGAGTTGTATGAGACCCTAATAAAACGATTTAAAAAAATCGCTGATGTGTCATTCGTTTCTCTTCTCTACAGAACTCAACTGAACACATCCTGTCTCACTCCTGGTAACCCTTAAAGCCTGTTTCTCATGGAATGAAAATCTTTTCTTAATTGTTTTGGGTGGTTTTTATCACTCTCCCCAAATTTCTGTAAAATTCTGTTACCCCTAAGTATACTGTGCTGTACTAATTCAAGGAATTAAGAAGGATCTTGGTTTCTTCTTTGGTCAACTCTAGGTGGAAAGTAAGAGACACGTCAGCAAAATTGAGATGCAAATGTCTAAGAGAGGCTTCAGGAACAGGGAACTGCAGAGAGCCTTGACCTGCACCCTGTCTGAGTTCCAGTGCATTTGCTCTTAGTCTGGTGGTAAAGAAAAATGGAAAACCTCCACAGCCTCAAAGGAACAAGACTGTCGTGTATTGAGGCCTCTCAAGGGTTAAGGTGTAGTCTCTCCCCCGTAAGAACTCTGAGGTGCTGGCTGAGGGTGGGGTGTGGAAGGAGAAGCAGAAGTCACAGAGCTCAGCTCTGTATTTGTGACGAATTGCAGAAAGAAGCATTATAATAGCTTTGCATATTTTATCGTTGGTTTTTATGTGCATGTGTTTATGAGCAAAAGAAACTCCACTTTTTAGCTGGCGAATGACCTGCCTCTTTCCTCCCTTCCATCTCAGACAGCTGACTGCTGGTTGACCTGCCCGTCCTCCCTCCCCTGATGGGAAAGTGTCTGCGGGTGATTAATTTTAGAATGCACTCCCGTGTCCCCAGGTTCTGGCCACTACAATTACCTTAGACTAGTCTTCAATATATTGTTTATTTGGATTATTTTTCAATATTATTCCCTTGGATGTTGTCATCTGAATGGTGTAGTTAATCTTGTTATGATAACCAGGATGTTACAATCCACGTTGGTATTGTTTCTTTAACGATCACCTTGTTACGGTAAACAGGATGTCTTAATCAATTTCTGTATAGTTCCTTTTCTGATAAGGAATGTTCCTTGTAAGGCATGTTTACTCAACTTGGAGTTACAATAATCCATTCTTGCTGCTTTCTGCTTCTGTTCATGCTTGTTTGCACCCTAGACAAGTGACAAAGGAGTTTTTGTCTTTAACGATGGACGGAGACATCCACCCGAGGCTGCTGAGGGGAAACATCTTCGGTTTCTCGGTAGCTCAGCTGTCGTTTAATTGAACCCATAACATTTCTTTATGTTGACGATTGTCTTCTGCTCCCCCACTCTCCCCTTTATTATTTTATATAAAAGTTGTTAGAGGTTATGTTTAGGATGGAGAATATGATACCGGACTATCCAGTGGGACTGTGAGTGAATTTAAGGAGGAACAAGGGCTGTAATGATGGGAACATTTTTTGAGGAAAGACTGAGAATGTCTTCCCTTGTAGCGCTAGCTTTGTCTCGTTAGTTGAAAACGGAGTCGTTTTGTGGTATGGAAGTTTAAATGTGCATCAAATGTCTGACACACGTGGCAGTTGAGAAGCGAATGACTGTGTCTTCTACCCCTTTATTGCCTCTGAGTTCCAAATTCACCCTGACTTTGGCCCGCTTTGTGGTTCTGCAGCAGAAACCTGGCCACATTTCTCCTTTGCTAATGGGCACAAGTTAGAACTTGTCAGGACACGGGAGGTACATGCCCAAACAACAGAAAAGGAACTGTTTGTTCTGGCTCTCGACTCTTCATGGGGATCTTATGGTGTGAGGGCCGTGGGTGCAGAAGGCCTGGTTTTATCCACTTTTGTTGATTGGTCTGACACTGCCGCATGATCCTTCCAGAGCATCTTCCCAGACCTTCCTAAGGAGATGCAGCAGTGAGGTTTGCTGGCTCGCGCTTTGGCCTGTGGGATGCTGGCAAACGTCTTTGTTGTAGTTACATCATTTCAGGACAGCATGATAAACAGAGCGAAGGGGTGGAGTCTAGCCTGTCAATCAGGTAACAGCCTGCTTGTTGGCTCCTTGTGAGTATGACCTTCCCAGGAGGATTCTGGGAATGTCCTTCTTCCTCCCTGGAGGCGACACACACACTCTCTGCTTTACCTTCCTGTTGACAAGCGACATGGAGACACACTCAGGAGCTGAAGGAATCACGTGGAGATGCTTCCACTACCACTGGGTCCACAAGACTTTTCACCCACCGGCCTGTGCATCATTTCGAGTGGCTACGTGAGTCTGAAGAGGAATTTATGGACCAGGTTTGGACTTAGAGGCTAATGTCAGACTTGTGGAGTTGATCTGGACTGGGCTGGGATATTTTATTGATGCCTAATTATTTCTTGATATAAAGTTCTCTCTGACACACATGAGTGTCAATGCATTGTTTCTAGAGTCAACCCAGGCTAACACAGTCCTCATCACCCAATAGCCCAGCCCCTCATTTTCCAATGAGTTTGGAATGCCAGTCTAGTCAGGAGGCCTGCTCCCAAATTCCTGTCTGCCACGGTGGGTACTCTGTCTCAGCTCTAGAGGTATTGACTGCTTTTTGTATCTGATATTTGTCTTTTTGCTAGAGTCTTTTTTACTTCTGTTAGTTGCTAAGAACCTCTTATTAACTTAAAAAAATTGGTTGTTTAATGTTTTAGTCTAGGTACTTTGGAGAAAGAATCCACAGCAACTCATGTATAAGAGAGAGTTTTATGTAAAGAAAATGTGCATCTCAAAAACATCCCAACCCAATGCTGCCCAAGCCCACAAGTCCAACATTAACCCATTAACCCAACACCAGTCCACAAAGTCCTCCACCTCACAAAACAGAGGCAATGACGCCGACTGCAGGAGGAAAGCTGAGTCAGTGAACGAACAAGCATCTCAGCACTAGCAGGGGTCTCCACACGGCTGCTCCAGCACCCAGGGCTGCATCGGGATAGGTCCATGTAGCTTCTCCTTGGGGATGTCTTGTAGGAAGTCAATCTTGCAAGCTGAAGCAGGGAACTGCTAAGGCAGCTGCACCCGGTGCAACCATCACAAAACAAGAGACCCGAGAACTACAAAGGCGAGGCTCACCACCCATTTATCCCTCCGCCTTTCAATTAGTCCCACATGTGATTATTAGCCAGGCTGGCACAATTAACTAACTCATTTAGTGTTGTGTTGCTTAACTTTAGTATATTTTAAATATCCCAAATTTCTTTCTATTGGTATATCCTTGTAGCAATCCATTATGTTCAGAAAATATAGTTTGCATTATTTCAGTCTTTTAAAATTCATTAAGACTTGCTTTGCTCCTTAATACATAGTCTGTCCTGGTGAATGGTCTATGCACACTGGAGAAGAATGTATGTATATGGTGTTAAATTTTTTAGAAATATTTTTTTATATTAAAAATGATCTCTCTTTGGTTGATAATGGTGCCTGTCACCTTATTGGACTGATTTATCGGCCTATAAACCACAATGCCCTTAGAGGAGGACATGAAGCTTCTCACAGCAAGTAGGAAAGAGTGCTCTCTATGTGTTAATCAGAGGGGCCCTGGGGGCACAGTGATGAAGCTGCCTACTGTAACATTGGCAGTCCAAACCCACCCGCAGCTTCATGGGAGAGAAGACTTGGCAATCTTCTTCTCTGAGAGCACCGCAGAGGGGACCCCGTGTGCAGTCATACTCTGTCCTTAGGGGTGACTGTGAGTAGGACCCACTTTATCAGCAAGCACGCAACAGCACGTGTTCTGACAAAGTCCCTACGTGCTTACCTAGGATGGTGCAGGACCAGGCAGCATTTTCCTCTATTGTCCATAGCGTTACTGTGAGCTAGAGCCCACCCGAAGGGACCTAACAACCCCAACATCCTTCTCAACATCAACATCAACAACAACAACAACACCAACATCCTCTTCAACATCAACATCAACAACAACAACACCAACATCCTCTTCAACATCAACATCATCAACATCAACATCAACACCAACATCATCAGCATCAACATCGTCAACAACAACCTTCAGGCGGTTAAGGTTGGAGCTTGGCACCTATCCGGAAAAGGGCTGGTGATCCGCTTCCATCCCCATCGCGGTAAAGACAGCCTTGAGGTGCCAATCTACTCGGTAATAGATGGGGTCCCCACGAGTCAGACTCGGACTTGACAGCGACGAATAACAACAACTTGAGTCAATAGATCGTCTGTCCTATTTCAGTTAGCTGTTCCTTTCTGAGACCACATTGCTTTTTGATGAAATATGGGCATAGTCATTCCTTTGGAATGAAGATAAAAGGAAGGTGTGCAGATATATGATTTTATCCATACCAGTAGGAGTGTGAGTTTCAGGCATGTGAATCAACTGCCTAAGAAGTCCCAGAAAGTGCGATTGCAGTCATCCCAAACGTTAACATTTTCTCACAATTAATGGAGTCCTAGTACATTACCCATGTGCATGCTTTGCAATGAGTTTATGCTTGATGTCATCGTTTCTACAGATGAAAAATGTTCTTTTTTTTCCGGGACTTTTTATTATGTCGTTGTTGAGGAAAGCATGAATTATTCTCCCAGTGTAATTGTTTGCTCTGGCTGCTGGAGCTGCACCCATCTCCTGTGGTCGGTGCCTTCTGAGACGCCACCTCCCGTCGATGTTTGGCTAGAGCAGAGCTCACAATACTTCTTCAAGAGCTCCTTGGCCTCTGTCTGCAGGCTCAGGTTCTGTGAATCCTTTCAAAATTTCTTATCTCAAATAAAGGGATGCACAGTGTGTTAGACAGGGTTCTCTAGCGAAACAAAACCAGAATGCGAATCATTATATATATATATATGTATATTTATACAGATAGATAGGTGTATAACATAAGCAATAAAGTTAATTAAATTATAAAGCAGTACAAATGGCTCAGTGCAACTCATTCCCGTGAGACAGTTGTGAGACACTGGCAGTCCTTCAAGTCTTGAGGGCTGCCGGGTAGTGCTCTGTAGAGCAATTCAGGCTATCTGGGCACAGGCAGCAAACTGCAAGGCAGGTCACCAGCAGTCAGCCAGATGACAGGGCCCGACAGTCCCCAGCTCAAGCAAGGCAGCTACACACTGGTCTGATGATCAAAGAGCAAGAGACAAGAAAGGCAAGGTTCACCGAGCCATTTATCTCTCCGCCCTTCAAGTAATCCCACATGTGTTTATCGGCCAGGCTGGCACAATAAACTATCTCCCTCACACACTAGCCCCCTAGCTCATGGACCTACTTCACTGACTACACAGATGCCTCATTGTATAGGCTCTTGTTTGAACACTAGTTCTCTCTCTGTGGTCATTCATAGTTTTCACCTTGTCTTTTATCCTGTGTTAGGACCTTCTCCGCTATTTTTATGACACTTTTGCAATAGATTGTGAAGAAAAATGATTGAAAACCCAGAACTATTAAGTTTTACTGTCCTATCTGACATTAAGCATTGTATCTTTAACGTAACATAGTTATTCAAACAATAATTTTCTCTGGCCAACTATAAATATATTATGTCTCAAATGTTGGTTGAAGAAGCATTACCATTGTACCAGTTTCTTCATCAATTGAATAAATTATTTGATTTCGGTACATGTCCAAGTCACGTTTGTCACTTGTGGATATTATATTTCTGCAGTTTACTCATTTAAAAATAGGCAGTTCTAGATGCTTAGCATGCTCATGGCAGCAAGTACTCACCATGTCCCCCACGGTCACACACTTCTGTTGTACACCACTTTCCAAGGGTCCTTCCTCCCCGTGGGCTGTTAGCAGGAGCTTCAATATAATGAAGTGGGTACCAGTGACCAGCTGAACTGCCAAAAGCAGCTGCCACGCCATAGCGGCCATGACTTCTTTATCCGCTTCTGCACACGTGTGATGATTACGTGCTCTACTTGCGTGCAGCCAGACTCTGCTGCCTGGCCTTTTCAGGCCACCTACATGCTCATGTCAAGGTTCCCACACATTAGGCACATGGACCTAACCTCCTCTCGTGGAGGTTGCTGACCAGCCCAGGATGACCCACTGGGAATCTCACTCTCACTCATAAGTTCCATGGTCTTTTGTCTGGCTTGCCAACTGTCAGTGCATGAACCAGCAAGGTGAAATGAGCCTCCAGACAGAGAGGAGGCAGTGAGATTGATGAAGAGCTGCGCTCCTCTTGGCTTATGGTAAACGACATTATTAGGAAAACTTACAAATGAGACTTGTTCCAAAAGTCAATGGACTGGTTCAATTCTCCATGCTCCCCAGTGGGAGGCGGTATTATTCTACCCCCTTATGGTGAATAAAGCTAGGGTACATACCAGGATTTTGGACCTCTGAACCCACCCCATCAGAGGTTGCATAGTAAGAGTGATTTAGCAAACAGTAGTGAGGTATGGGGAAGCAGTTAGGTGACCACGTTTGACCACACAAAGCCCGTTTCTTTCTTCTTTTAAGAAATAAATCATTTTATTGGTGGCTCTGACAGCTCTTATAACAATCCATACATCAATTGTATCAAGCACATTTGTACATATGTTGCCAGCATCATTTTCAAAACATTTTCTTTCTACTTAAGCCCTTGGCATCGACTCTTCTTTTCCCTCTCTCTTCCCCATCCTCCCACCCTGGTGAACCTTTGATAAATTATATATTTTTATTATTTTCACAACGTACACTCCTTGCTGTCTCCCTTCACCCACGTTTCTGTTGCTCTTAATCCTGGCGGGGGTGGGGATGGGGGTGGGTGGGGGGTGTTATACATCTCTCATTGCGATCGGTTCCCCTTTTCTCACCCTTCTCCCCCCACCTTCCCCTTCCCCTCATGGTATTGCTACTCCCATTACTGTTCCCGAGGGGTTTATCTGTCCTAGACTCTGAGTGTTGAGAGCTCTTATCTGTACCAGTGTACATGCTCTGGTCTAGCCAGATTTGTAAGGTGGAACTGGGGTCATAACAGTGTGGGGTGGGGGTAGGCGCAGGGAGGAAGCATTAAAGAACTGGAGTAATGTTGTGTACTTTGTTGGTGCTATACTGCACTCTGACAAAGGCTATTTCTTGTCACTCTTTCTTCAGCCATCGAACTACATGTATGCCAGGACATTGATTTTGCTTTTTATTAAGAAGGTTAGGGCACTTAATTGTAAAACGTTTTTCAAATAATATCTTAATATTTAAAATCACAACTTTATGACACACAGAGCTCAAACTGAATGTATTGAGAGCTTAACACGTCACCCTCAGCCGTATTTCCAGAGCGACTTTTCCTTCTGAATTCTCTCTCGATTAACGTCCTCAGCAGTCAGGTGCCCATGTGAGAAAAGTGGAAGTCTTCCCAAGTCCTGCTCCGGGTCATCAGCTCCATCAAGTGCACACAGTTCACACTGGCTGATGTTTAACCTCACAGAGCTGGCATCCGACAGCGTGCAGCGTGTGTGTCTGGTTTTCTCAGCTCCATTCCACATTGTGTATTTCCTTTCCACCTTGCTCAGACCCCACCCCTGTGTCTGGCTGGGAACTCCTTGTTGTCATCTCAGAAGTGGCCACGAGGGGGAGCAGAAGCCAGGGAAGCCTGTGAGACCCCTAGGCTGCCTTTTTTGTTTAATTCACCCCAATAGTTGTATTGACATAAAATTCACATATCATACACTTCCACAGCTAAGTTGCTTTTTAAAAAGAGTTGTTTATACACCATCATAATCAGTTTTAATGCACCTTCCTCCCATCTTCATTCTTTGCTCCCTGATTCCCCCCCCCCCCCCCCCACCTGCATCCCCAAGAAGCTATGATGTCCGTGGTGGTCCGTACACACCCGCTCCTTCTGCGCTTCATAAACTGGGAGAAACATAACAGACACACAACACAAAACAAAACAGGAAAAAAAAAAAGGGAAGAAAGAAAAGACCACTGGCAATATTAAAGTAAGCCAGAGAGAAAATTTCTGTTTTGGAACAAGGGAGAAATATTTAGACCCAGAGTACGTTCGTGATAGGTCAAAGAGTAAATTCGGGATGGGTTAAAAGGGAGGCCGACTGAGCAGGTATCATATTATGCTGTACTTTACAATATTCTCTGTCTGATAAGAGAAGTGGTTCGCGTCCCTGACTGTGGCTAGAGAGGATCTAACAGAGGCTTCATCTGACCAGATGCTCTGCAGATGGGTTTTGGGCTCCCACTGTCCTCTACCGCCTTCTACCAATTGGGTGTTCCCAAATTAAACTCTGATACCTTTCCCTTCATCATATTTGGATTTTGTTATTTGTTATCTTTGGATCATACAGGCTGGTGTGCTTCTTCCATGTGGACTTCGTTGACATCTCACCAAAACGGCTGCTTATTTGAAGACATTGGCTGTGTTTCTTGTTCTTTCTTCCCTTCTAATTTAACAGTTTTATTGGCACATAATCCACATATCGTACAATTCAGTATTGGTGCATATCAATAAGGGTTGTCTGATCATCACACAATCAATTTCAGAACATGTTCTTCTTTCTTGTCCTCATTGTGGTTAGCTCCCTATCCCCCCCAATGGCCCCTACTCGGCCCCCACGGAACCACTGATCCAGTTACTGTCTCTAGATTTACTCCTCCTGGGCTTTGTTTACAGGAGAACACGCAAAAGAAACAACAACGACATCACCACAAACTAACAACGTTGTTGTTACGTGCCATTGAGCACAACAGATGGAAAAACTTCAAGGTCCTCCTTCCTCGTCCTCACAATGGATCCTATGCCTGAGTTCATGGATGTAGCCAATATGTCCATCCGTTTTCTTCTTTTGTTGTCTTCTGACTACTCTTTTTTACTCATCTGTTTGTTCTACCAACGTGACTCTTGACACAGGCTCACGGCGCCTACGCACACTGGCCTTGAAGACTTGTACGTTTGTGTTCTAGGAATTTCAAGTCCTTTTCCATGCTCTGCCTCACTTGCTCTGAAATTAAAGGTGTTTTCTCCTTCTTCTTTGTTCGTTTAGGTCTGGGTAAAGGCAGGAGAACATGCACACGACCTTAAAATAAAGACCAGCATTCAGACAGTAGGGTAG